TGTGCCCCCTCCCAGCTTCTTGTGCACCTCCAGCCTGCTCAGTTGGTAGAGCACGGGGAGCTGAAAAGTCCTTGACTAGTGTAAGCACGACTTAGCAACAACTAAAACATTGGTGTGTTGTCAACGTTATTCTCATCCTAAATCCAAAACACAGCACTGTACCGGCTACTAGGAAGGAAAGTAACTCTGTCCCAGCTGAAACCAGGACAGACTCTCACTGGCTTTGCCGGTCCTCATCACACCCACATCTGCATTTGTTTTTCACCTCGTGCTTCCACTTCCCCTGCGGCTTTAGTGCACGCAGAGAACATGGAGCTGAGAAGGGCGATGGTCTGTGAAGATGGCGCTGGGTAGAACTGGGAGAATTCTCCAGGGAAAGTGGTTTGTGGCCTGAGGGGGATTGCGTGTGGCTGTGTTAGAAATGAGCGTGTTTCGTCTGCAGTCCTCCTTAACATGCTGCTGTCTTCAGATGGTCTCGGCTACTGTTTCTGCTTGGATTTTCCGGAGTCGGTGGGCTCTAAGCTGGACCGGGTGTTCCCTTTCAGCCTGCTAAGGAGGATACCAGGGCTGAAATATATCCCAGGGTCCTTAGCGGAGAGAAGAGCCTTTGAAAGCAGCAAGTAAGTACAGGAGTTCCTGCAAAAGATCTTATGATATAGGGGAATTTGGAGGCATAAATGGAGGCATTAAATCGCCTTTAAAAGCTGTATTGTGCTTGTCGTGTTCATATCCTGGGTGTTAAGGGGAACATACTGACCCACTGATGTTGCACTGGTGACATTACTGTAACTAATATGCTATCACACATTAACTCAACCAGGTCTTTCAGTGAAAGCTAAATTGGGGTGAAAGACCTCTCATTTGCTGCAAGGGCAGTGTGTACAGATGCGAAGGTATTGCAGCTCAGCTAACATGAAGGCTAAATCGTGCGGTTCTGCCCTAACATCAGGACTTCTGGCATTTGTTCCTGGCTGTATTGCTCCCTGGGGCGTGATCTTTATCTTTCTTTGCCCCACCTTGCCTCCCAGGAATGCTGTGAAGGGAGTCGTGTCCAAATCTCTGTAGGAGCAGAGCATTATAACTTCAAGATGTCACTTACGAAGTTCGATGTAGACCTTTCAATGCATGTTTTCAGTGTCAAGGCAAGATTGCTTTACTGAAAAGAAACCTTGGGGCCTGTGGCTGATGTTCAGGAATGGTTTTAAATTCGTGTATATTACAAGCCACGAGAACTCACTTGTATTCTAAAAAGCTTGGAAATCTAGGTCAAATTTTTCCCTGTTCTAAGATGTCATTTCAGTTTCACAGAGGAAGGATGGCTTTCTGCTCAGGGTTAAGTTCTATGTATTGTTTAAGCCATCAGCTCACTGTAAAGCATTCTTTGAAGGGGAGGCATTCCCAGGTATTTGCATCTGCCCTCACCCATGGGGAAACCATAAAAGAAACCCTCGCCTGCAGCAGGAATGTACCCCAGATCGATTAGGGCACTCAAACGTGCCAGTGCTTGCAGGGGAGGCCAGGCAGATCCAGCAGCATTTGTGTGTTTACTCTCTTCCTTCTGTGCAAGTGTTGCTTTTGGGAGGAGGGCCTGTCTTGCTGGGTGCTGAGCCTGTGTCTGCATCAGTCTAATGCATCTGCTAATAACTGTTGTGCACAGCGTCTCGGCTCTGTGTCTAAACCTGCTTTCTTTAGGTGAGATGACATAAATAGACTGTTCTGGCTCAGAGGTATTTACATAAACATTTGACTATCAAGCAGGGCGTGGGAAGGTGTTTCTAGGATGTTTCCTTTTCTGCAGCTAAATTTGCATGTCTCCGTGTCTTAGACACAAGTTCTATATGTGCTTCTGGGGCTTAATTTTTATTATTTTGATTCTTATTCCCAAGTAAAAGCTCTTGATGGTTTGGGTTTTGATTTTTTTTTTTTTTTTTAATTTTCGTAAGACTTCAGGCATCAACTTGCCACCAGACAGGAGACATTTCTAGGAGGTCCAGGCTTTGATATCACGTTTGTGTCCACAAATAAAACAAAACAAAAATCAAACAAAAACCAAAAACAAACCCACACCCCACATTTAAAAAAAAAAAAATGCAGGCCCGAAACCCCCAGCGTGAGCCAGTCGCTTGTTCTTGCTGGGAATCTGGCGGTCACGGTCTTCGTGAATATTGTCTTGATTCTCAGCACTCATCTTAGTGTTGTGCGTGGGCTGAGCAGTACTCCTGAAGTCCCAGAGGCTTTGGCTTCTAAGCAGATTGCCTCTCTCTTGATACGTTTCGGCGGGATGAGTCATGCCTTCTGTTGGCAAGGGCTGTTTCTAGACCTTGCTTCTGAATGATTAATTTTATTTGTAACTCTCTCCTCCTTCCCTTTTTGCTCTATACCCTGGGCTCTTACTCACACCAAAGGCCTTTATGGCTTCTTGATAAATAACACTTGGCAGCTGTGACTTCTCCTGATTAATAACTTAGCAGATGTGTCATTCAGCGGAAGGCAGGGAGGATGCGTACGGAGGTCTTAAAGCACGTCGCAGTTTGGCTTGTGTATTCCCTGCAGAGAGACTCGGGGCCAAGAACCGCACTCTTTCGGGGGGTGTGGAATTGGTGTGGGTTGGGAGTGGGCACATCTGTCCTGGGAGGCCAGTAAACCTATTTTTATTCAACTGCTGCTTATAACAAGAGCTTCTCTTGTAGTGAATCTCTTTGATGGATTGCAGTGACCTTTCTGAGCATTGGTCAGGAGGAAATCTACCCCCGGGGCACTTGCAGTGCTAATTAGGCACTGCCAGTTCTGAACACAGTGTAACCTTCTGTTTTCTTCCTGCCCAGGGTTAAGCCTGCACCAGGCGCCTACCCCACCCAAATCTACTACTGCTCTTCGCCTCCGGCTCTTCCCGCTTTCCAGATGCAGCAACCTGACGCTCAGAGTCAGGGGTTTCAACACAGCTGTGCGCCGGGATGCGGCCATGCTCTGGGACTCGAGGGATCTCAGCATGGCCATGCTGCAGGACACAGCCTCCCTTCTTCCCCCCAGCAAGCCAGAGGTGCCTTCAGAGAGTCTTACGTGCAGGCCCACGCTGGAGCCTCGCCTGGACAGTGCTGCCAGCTGGGCAAGTTCTCTCCCCCGCAGCGCGTGTGCCCAACTGATCCACGGACACCCGCAGGCGTGGGCCCCCTGGCTGGGGTTCAGCAAGCATCAGGGTATCCAGCAGCCACAGCGGCTCCTGTTTCTGCTGAATTTTCGAGAGTCCAGGTGTACTGATCCTCCAGAAAGCAGCAGGACTCTCATACCGTGGCAGGACCATTGTGTGATGCTCACGCGGCAGCGTGTTGCTGGCATCTTTGCTGGATCTGGGGTGACTAGTGCAATGGGTTGGTAGCTCCACTGTAGCCCATTCCCCTGCTCCCTGGCACAGGCTATTTTAATTATAGTTCCTTTATAAATTTTTTTTTTTTTTTTTTTTACTTTTTGATATCGCTGGGGGATGGGGACTGTATCACCTCTGTGCGCTTCTCATCCTTTTGGAGTCTTTTTTTCATTGCTGTATTTAGCAGCTGCCTTTTTCCACGCTGGCGCTAGAGTTACAGTGCATCAGCTCCCCAACTCAAGCTAGGAACCTAATTGTCAAAACACTGGACTAATCTGGGCTTTAACCGGGCTGCAGCAATAAGGACGTGTCCCATCTGCACTGAGGCTTTTAGCCTCTGAGCTTGTTTACAGGTGTGACGTAGCTAGGACCCAAAAGAAGCTGAAATCATGAAAGCCTTAGTTTATAATATTTGAGTGGAGGAGGACAGATGTCTGTTCTAGAAGTCACTTCTCCGCTAAGAGTGTGCCTTGAAGGGGGCTTGTTAAACCAGGGCTGGGGCAAGAGGACAGAATACAGAACACCCTTTTCTGCCCCCCAAAACACAGCTCTAAAACGCTGAAGGTCCTTCTTAGCTGCAGCCTGTGCATGCATCGACACGTTGCCTTCCTTATCTGATAGCACTGCACTAGCTCGGCCTGTGTTGCCAGCGCTTGTTGATACGGCAACCTCAGATGCGTGCAAAGGAGTGGAAGGCCCTTTAATAAGGGATTTTGGCCACTTGTGGAGCAAACGTATATAAACCCAAGGAGCTGGGTGGGACCTTAACGGTGGGACCTTAACAGTGGGTTAGAAGAACTAACTGGAGTGTAGGTATTCCATTGGGGGTGTTCACACTGCTCAGCTTTAGATGTCTCACCCACCAACATTGCCACAATCTCTCTCTGTTTTCTTCAGGGCTGGTGGAAAGGCGTGTGGGAGAGGGGAGTTTTCAGCAAGGGATTCAGAGCAGGATGCAGTGTTTGGTGCCTGTGGCAGTAACGAAGGAGTTTGGTTGAGTTGGTGGGACTTGAGCTTTATTTCCAGCTGTGTAGCTGCTTTACTGTGCCATGCCCGGGAGGAATCTGCTGTCTCTGTGTCTGTAAATCAGCCAGGATCTCAACTATTGCCCTTGACTCTTCGCTTAGAGTTTTGTGGTGCTCCAAAAAAAAAAAAAGTGCTACATGAAGCGCGAAGTGCCATTCCTGCTCTTGGAGATGTTCTTGCAGTGCCTAACCTGTCCCCCAGAAACCGCGGTAGCCTCGGGGCTCTTCCATGCTATCAGTGAGCCGGGGTCATGGGCGGCATTGGCAGCTGCATGCTCCAAAGCACGTACGTGCCTCTTTCTTTTTTTTCCCCTCTTCCGTGTCTGAAGGAGCCCCGTGTTGCCCTACAGCCGCTCGCTTCTCCGGCAGCCCTTCTGGGATGACTGCCGCAGTTACGTGTGGCCTCGCAGGGCCTTGCTTTGGGGGAAGGCCAAAGCGAATGCTGGGGACTTAGACCTCAGATGCACGTTAGTAAGAAGCTCTGCTCGCAAAGGTGGGCACCCCTGGGCAGGGGCTTTCTGCAGGAGGATGCAGCAATTTGGGAACCAGCCTGGAGTTGGTGGCCAGCTCCGTCTCATCCCTGATTGTTTCACCCCTCCATGGGATCACAAATGGACTTGACTTCATGGTCCTGTTTTTCCTGCTGACAGCAATTGCTTTGTTACATGATTAGTGTGGAGCAAGAACAGGATAAGGTGCTTGTCTGGAACCGGGAAAGAAATGCTGGAGGTAACACCGAAATGTTGATGCTCCACTCTCATCAGTGCCTTGATTTTCCTCCTTGCGAGATCCTTGCCTGTAAACCTCGGAATTTTATCACTGTTTTTTCCAGAAACGTGCAGAAGGGTGATGAGGACTGGTAGCAATCGCAAATGTTGCGTACCTCCAATTTGTAAGCTTGAAACGCAATCTGAAAGACAAACTACTACATCTGCGGGTTTGCTTTCAAGTGGGGGGCCTGGAGCGTGCCGCTCCGGGTGGTGGGCCGGGTGCGATGGGGGCTGCGGGGCAGGCTGCGGGCGTCTGATGGGTGCTAGCTGCGGGGCAGGCTGGTGGCGAAGGACGCGCACTGGGGACGAGCAGTACTGCACATCGGAAAACGCTCGTGGGGCTGGAAACCGGTTATTTTTCCTTTCCGACTCTTACCAGTTGATCTGGTAAGAGATTCGCTCTCCCTGCAGAGCCGTCAAAGGGATGGCGTGTTTCCAGTGAGTAGTTTCAGGGTTTTACAGTGGTAAAGGAAGCCCTGGCCTAGGAGAGTCACCGTTAGCGTCGCTGCCGGCAGCGAGAACAGCCCCAAGCCCGGCTGGTGTGGGGAACAGGCAGCAAACCTCCTTCCAGGAGGTGAGGTGGGCCCCTGGCAGTGGGGGGACGTGCCCGCGCGCGAGGGAGCAGGTACCAGCCAGTACCTTTTCCATGCTGGGACGAGGCAACTGCCAGAGCCTTCCGGGTGAGCCCTGGGGATGGGACGTAGCGGGATGGGCACAAAACCACAGTTCGGGGTCGTTTCCTTCTGCTCCCAGCTCTTTCGTGAGCTTCCTGGTGACCTTGGCAGATCACTTGGTCTCTCTGATCTCTACGGCTTCCACCATGTCCCCAGGGCTGTTCCGAGTCCAGCTGCACGACTGCCACGGCACCTGCCTGTCCCTTGCAGCCTGCTGTGCCTGTGTTCAGTGGCCTTCAGACGGACGTTTGCAATGATTTTTTTTTTTTCCCTAGTGAAGTCTGTTCCCTGCCTTTCCTGAGGGCAGCCGTTTCGCACTGAAATGCTGTCGTATAAATGGGCTGAGGACCTTCTGCTTCTCCAGCAGCGGGGTCCAAGCAAGTCCCAGGCCCCCAGGGCTGGTAGCAAACTCGTGACTCCTCGCCCAGGGAAGGGAAATCGCTGGGAGAGAGGGAAGGGGTCGGGATGAGACATTTGCAAACGTGTCTGAAAGCGGAAAGGAAGAATTAAATTTGCAAGAGAGGGAGGTAAAAATCATCGTTGGGCTTTTTGGCGTTTGCCTAACTAAGCTCACGGCAACGTTACTGATCGCGCGTTGCAGTACCAGGTCATTTCCTTGCTCGCCCAGGGAAGGGAAATCGCTGGGAGAGAGGGAAGGGGTCGGGATGAGACATTTGCAAACGTGTCTGAAAGCGGAAAGGAAGAATTAAATTTGCAAGAGAGGGAGGTAAAAATCATCGTTGGGCTTTTTGGCGTTTGCCTAACTAAGCTCACGGCAACGTTACTGATCGCGCGTTGCAGTACCAGGTCATTTCCTTGGAGGGGAGACAGAGAATTAAAGTTCCTAAAGCGGGGGAGGGTGGGGAAAAAAAAAAAAAAAATAAAAAAAAGCGGGGGGTGGGAGGGAGGGAGGAAGGGAAAAAGACAATAAACCCCCCCACCCCTGTTCAGGCTGGGATGGCTGCCCCTGGGGAACATGCTGGCCCTGAAGGTTTGCTACTTTGTGCCTCCGGTGCGTTCCCCGTAAAACTGCCACTTCTTTCCATGTCAGGATTGCATCTGCCCTGCGGGCAGGGTGCGCGGGGAGTCCAGAAAGCCCCTTGGGTTGCCCCCCCTGTCCTCAGGCGGTCACTGCAGAGCGGCAAGAGTCTGGGGACAAGTGCCGGAAGTGCCGGGAGCCGAGCCGGCCGGTCCTGTTCGGGGCAGTTGTCCTGCCGCGCTAAGGAATGCTCTGGGAGAGCCCAGCTGCACGCGCCGTGGCGCAAGAGAACAGGAGTCGGCGGCACGTGAGGAAAGCAGAACCGACTCGGACCTACATCGCCACCCCGGCTGGGAGCAAGCGGGGTCCTGCAGCGTGGGGAGGCCTGGCAGGAGACGCCGATGTCAAAAGAAAAACCGGTCTGCGTTTCTTTGCTTTCCTGTTGCTCATCTGTTTGTGGCAAAGCGCACGCGTGCGGGCAAGTTAATCCTGCACCGGGGGCCAGGTTAGCTGTGCCAGGGCACCGCCAAACACCGCCGCCGTGGCTGTCCCACTGGGTTCCGGCTTGCTTGCCGGCACCATGGAGGCTCTGTGGCCAAAAGTTCAGCCCCAGCCCGTGCTGGGGATGGAGGAGAGCCAGAGAGGTGTGAGCTCACACACGCCCCGGGGCGGGTGGGAGAAATGCATGTGGAGGCAGAGCACCAACCGAACGGGTCCCTGCGGGCTGGCCGGGCTGGGCTTCCTCGTCCACCCGGGGGGGGTTTGGGCTGGGTGCGATGAGAGTCCAGCTCCTTCCCCGCCGGGAACAGAACGGGATGGGCTGTGCCGTAATGCCTGTCCCCGCTCCGGGCACCCGACGGGCTGGGGATGACCCCAAACCATGGACCAGCTCTGTCCTGCAGTCCCCTCGGGGCCGGTGCAGGCGCATCCCAGCCGCTGCGATCTTTAACCCGCAGCCGTTCACCCCGCGGGGGACGGTCATGGACCAGAGTCACCCCGGGGAGCTTCCACGGGGTCGATCCCAGAGCTGCTGTGGGCGGCAGTGGTGCCCGGGTGGCCCCGCAACCCCGAGCCCTCTGCTTGGATGCCGTCATGAAAGGGGGTGTCCCTGCAGCCCTGGGCATCGCTGCCCCCGAG